GAAACCATCATTCTCAGCAAACTGTCACAATAACAAAACGAACACCGCATGTTCTCACTCATAGGTGGGTGTTGAACAGTGAGAACTCATGGACACAGGAGGGGACCATCACGTACTAGGGTCTGTTGGTGGGGAATAAGGGAGGGGCAGAGGGGGGAAGGGCAGTTGGGGAGGGATAACAGGGGGAGAAATGCCAGATATAGGTGACGGGGAGATGGAGACAGCAAACCACTTGCCATGTATGTACCTATGCAACAATCCTGCATGTTTTGCACATGTACCCCAGAACCTAAAGTGCAATAAAATTTAAAAAATAAAAGAAATGCCAAGATAAATAAAACTGAGTCTTACTCTACTTGGAACTTACAAGCAGTTCAAAAGCTTGTGGGTATCAAACAGCAGGAAAGGAGGTAAAGAACAAGTCAGAATTATAGTGTTTTCCATGTTGCAGCATCCAGAAAAGGTGGCTCTATGGAACAGCTAGAATTTGACCTAAATCCTGAAGGAGCCACAGTGTCTCAGCAGGGAGAGAGATGAGTGAGTAGGATACAGAAAGACCATGTGGATAATAACTATTAATAAGCTTAATATTATTTTAGCTACCCTGGTTTTGAAAATGAGCATCTTTTCAGTCCTGTCCTATCCCCACATTTGCAAGCAGTCAGTTGCCGTTTATCAGAGTAAAGGCTATTCTCAATTATACAGCATCCACTAATATCCAGCAGGTTAGAAATGCCATTTTAGTTAAATAGATTGTCTTCAATTTTTAAGTATAAAATCAGGAAGAAGTAGAATAGCTTAATGGTTAAGAGTTTGGATGCTGGAACCAGTCTAATTTCTATTCCCGACTTTCTCTCTTATTAGCTGCGTGGCCTTCAGCAAGTAATTAAACCCCACTCTGTGCTTATTTCCTCATCAGGAAAAAATTTAAAAAAAGATGTTGATAATAGTGCCTAACCTGTTATGTGGAATAGTTTCATTAAATTACTTCCTATTCGTAAAGTGCTTAGAAGAACTCGGGATAGAGGAAGCACACATAAAAGTTGTAAATAAAATGGCCCTCATATACCTGCCCTTGTCTCCCTAAAACAGGTGCTGAGTTCTGCGGGAGCTGCTCTGGATGATTCCCCTACATCTGCAGCTTCTGTAGTTTATAATCCCTTGCTTTTTGGGTGACACCTGGCAACAAGATGTGAGACCTCAATGCTCTGATTTTCTGCTTCAAATGTACATTTTAGTAGTCTTGATTTTAACAAAGAGCCCTGTTCAACCTTGTTGCATAAGGACGATAAACCAGATTCAGTGGGTGGTGGTTTTTACTAGCTTCCTATTCTAATTTTCAGGTTTGAAAGATATAAAAGGCTTCCATATGCAAGCAAATGTGGTGGAACACATTGACGTCTCTAGGCAAAGTGGTGTGCTCTAATTCTGTAGAATTTGAGAGAGGGCTTTAGAGTCGCTGCTAGGTTTGTGTCCTGGTTTTTCTACTTACCAAGTGTGTGGCTTTGGACAGGCTAATCCCTGGGCTTCTTTTCTAATGCTGGTCTTACAAACTTGTTTCCTTATTTGGTTTCTTTCTGGGAATTGGTGGTCCTTCTGAGCAACCTCCACAGAGAGTTAAGGATTTGGCTCCTGGTTCTCCTGACAAAGCTGATACTCCTTCCCTTCAGCTTTCAGCCCTAAAACAGGGTGGTTGTCCTCACTTCAGTTTTGTCTTTGGGAGTTTATGCTTTACTGAACAAAATCCCTCTTTGCTCTTTTAGTGGTATATTCATAAAGGCACAGACGTAAATTGATGTGTTTAATTTACCTTGTTTAACCAAGAGTAATCTTTAAGTTTCTTAAGAAACAGTCTTAATATATTTCTTTTATCAAAAGAAGTCTTTTGAAATTTTCCTGTAAGAATGAATTTAATGCTTCCTTTCCTTGTTTTCATTAATCTGAGAGTTCATCCCTTGATTATTATTGCTAAATATTTTGTATTAAATTATCCCTTAAGAATAAGAGCATTTAATTTGGCAACGAAATTTAGGGCAATGATTTTTGTTGCTAACAATAGTCTTTTTATGCTAGATTTATACTTTTGAAATATTATTTTCTGTTTGTATATTGGTGGGTTAGAGTTTGTATATTGGTGGGTTCAGAGCTTCTGAATATGAGAATATGGTCCATATATTCCTCTGCAAATGAGAGGCAGTTTGCCTAGCAATAGCTATCTTTGATTGAGTCTTCCCTTTCTTTTGGCATTTAATAATACAGCAGAGAACTCTAAGACCATCTGGGTATTTGTTCCTTTGATGGTGATTTGTTTTCATTTGATTTATGTGTGTTGACTTGTTGTTTTTGTGCTTGAACACTGAAGTACTTTTTTTTCTTTAACTTTAAACCTAGGATTCAACATTTCTGTCAGAGCATCGCTTTGACTTGATATTGTTTGAAATACAATTTAGTTTTCTTTTTTTTTCAGTTCACTTTTTTTTAGTCTTTTTGTCTTTGATTATTCTATTTCAGTTCTTGCATTTCCTCAGAAACAACTATAATTAGATATGTTTTCTACTCTTCCAGATCTAGGATCTTTTTTCATCTTTGGTACTTTTCTCTGGCCTTATAGGGGTGTTTACCCTCTATGTAAATGACTTAATTTTATACTGTGTGTGTCTATGTTCCCCCTCCAGTGGGTAATCATGCTGCACTTCATTTTGCAGACTCTGTGCAATGCTACTTTATTTCACCTATAATCTCTTTATCTTACCCAGCAGTCTTTTATTGACTTTATTTGTTTCTAGGGATCATATCTTCTTGTATTATATTGACAATGCCTAAAACTTTCCTAAAAATTACTAATGATTCCTCTGTGAAGTCGTTTTCAGAAAACTGTTCTTCCTTTGAATCTTTAACATGCCCTTTTCTTTCCACATTTATTACTACTTAGTAGACCCATGCTGACATTGCGCTGCTATTTTCATTACAGAATTAAGAGATACTCATCTAGACCTGCTCACAGAGGGGATATGTAGATTCTCCTCAGCCCCATTCTCTGTTCTCCTGTTTGTTAGTAAAAGTCCACTTTTAGATCTCTGACCTTGTAGCAGGTTGATGTCTATAGACTCGGACCCATTTTCAGTGAAAGAGTTTCATATAAAGCAGCTGTCTCCAATGCCTTGTTCTTTGTTACTTTATATATGGATTATGTAAGAACTCCAGCCTCCAAAATGCAATACCTTCATAGGTCATGTTGTCCCTAAATCTGCCTTTCTGTCACTGAAACTGCCAGGTTGCACAGTGCATCTCCTTTTTCCCGGTTGGCTTTTGAAAGTAGCCATCACTAACTTATGGGGTGGGGGATTCTCTTGCTGCCTCCAAAAATGTAACCATTTGTGGCAAAGGACTAAGTTTCTTAATGATACAGATTTTTGCATTTCTATACAAGGTGGCAGAAAGTGGAGACATGGTGATATGCAGATGAGGATTTCCCTACCCCTTTCAAGGCCTGTGACTTTTCACTGCTAATCAGATTTTTTACATCTAATTTTATTCTTTTTCTGTTGTAAGAATTCTTGCCTGATTCTAGCAGTAGGTTGAAGGTCATATCTTCCTTTTCATGGTTGCATGAACTTTATTATTTATCTATTTTACAGGTATCTTAGTAAAAGATTGGGAGGGATTATATCAGGGACTGGTAGCTAGCATTTAAAACTATAAGATATGAAACGCCACATCTTAAAGAAGTACTTTTTCAAGTCGCAAGATGCTTGAAAATTTTGCTTTCTTCAGATATTTTGTGGAAATAAACTCTGCCTTGTAAATATTCATCACAAGTTGCTATTCAAATGATGGAGGCATCAGTGTTCCTGTAATAGAATCTATGTGTTATGAAAACTGGGTCATTTTTGTGATGAAATAAAATGTAGATACATAAGTGATGGTAGGAATTCCAATGACTTCTGTAAAACTTTTATTATACATAAAAACTGCCTGATCACTGCCTACTAACAAGAGTCTTAGACCTGAAACAGCTGTTATAAATCATTTAATCTCAGAGTTGGAAATTCAGTTGCCTCCATGGGCCAGACAAGTAAGGCAAATGCATGAAGTAGGCTAGTTCCATACAAGAAGGAATGGGAGGGACTAGAAAAAAAGTAGAGATAATACTTGTTCTACCAAATCCTTCAGGCATCATTATAGCACAAACCATTATAGAGATGGAACTGAGGTCAAAGGATATTAACAGATTTGCCCAAAGTTAGTTGAGTCTGTCTTGACCAGAACTGGGTACATAATTTGCAGAATCCAGTGCAAAATAAAATGCTGGGTTTCTTGTCCAACAACTATTAAGAATTTCAAGATGGCAACAGCAAAGCATAAAGTTTTATGTGACTGCCTAAGTTACACACCCATGAAGACATCCTGATTTTAATTTCTGATCTAGAATTTGTATAACCAACAGAAACTTGTCTCACCCATAACCACTGAGAGGCTGGTAATAGAGATGGAGTTAAAATTAAGTTTTTTACTTTTATACTACAATAAGTTAATTGTTTTTATTTATAAGAATATTTTTTAATGACATCAGGAATGCCATTTAGTGACATTCAGCCAGCTTTTAAAGGCAGAGCTATTCATACACAAAGTACAAGAAATAAAATTGAGTATTTAGTACTAGAGTAGGAGTTTTTTGTAATAAGTGTGTAGAGACACACGCACACACACACATCTTACATTTTAAAAGTTCACATGTTAAGAGAATGAGAAAATGAGTGATTGGGCAAATATTGCGATTAACAATAAAAATCAAGTATGAATATAATACTCAAAATGATTAAGCCATATATACCAGTGTATGGGTTCAGCTAGCACTGAAATTACTCATTAAGTTTAATCCCTAGTTGTGGGAAGGGGCAAATTTAGTTTAAGAAACTCTTTTCCCTCCCTTACGTATTTCAGTATATGCTGTGAATATATAAACTGAATGTCACAGAATTTCTTTTAATCTTTTACAGGTGGAGATTTTCATTTTACCTTTATGTATTTACCTATGGAGTCAGATTCCTGAAAAAGGTAGGATCTCTCAAAATATTTTATGTAATTGTTATGTACATCTATATCCCATTTTTTTTAAGTATTTGACTGTAACAGTATTTTAGATAGTCATAACAGGCTTCATAAGAATTATTTCTGCATTTTCCTTTGACTTATGAAAATATTTTGGATGTTACTAAGTCCCATATTTACTCCAGTGGATAATTGATTACTTTTCTGGTACTAGGAAGCTTATAAAATCTGTCTGATGCTTTGAAAAAAGTTAGAGTTTCTACATCACAAAATTTGAGAACATGAATTGTTGCAGTGTGTATTATCACTATACTCTTCACCAGTAGAAATAACTATATATATTTCTTATAGTTTCTTTCATGGATTTTTTTCTCCTGCTATTGAGTTTACTATAATCCTGCATGAACTGAGGCACCTGAATCTATGAAAGTAATTCTTTGTGGCTGCTATAGTCTTTTTCCAGGTTATTTCAGTTCTTACTAGAACTACTATCAGATTAGTCTCCTTAAACCTAATGAAGACCTAGCTTCTCATAGGCATACACATATTAACAATAGTGATTTGGCATAACCTGAGGAATAATTATTATTTGTTTAAGACAGAGTCTTGCTCTGTTGCCCAGGCTGGAGTACAATGGCGCAATCTCAGCTCACTGCAACCTGTGCCTCCTGGCTTCAAGCGATTCCCCTGCCTTAACCATCCGAGTAGCTAGGACTGCTGGCACATACCACCACACACAGCTAGTTTTTTGTATTTTAGTAAAGAGGAGGTTTCACCATGTTGGGCAGGATAGTCTTGATCTCCTGACCTTGTGATCCACCCACCTCAGCATCCCAAAGTTCTGGGATTACTGCACCTGGCCAGGGAACTATTTTTAAAAGTTCTCTATAGTATTAGCCTCCAAAGTGATATCAGTGTTACCTTTATTTATTACAGATTTTTTTCTAAAATTAAGAGTGCACCAAATATCATGTTTTATTAATCTTAAATATTGACATGGAAATTTTAAATACATTTAAAATTTTTAAATCTAGTTTATCAGATATTGTCTGCCTGTGGTGAATTCTATTATAAATAGTGGTTGTTTCCCAATATCATATTTTTCTAGAGGATTTTTTTTTTTTTACTTGTAGTCTTTTTCTTTGGTAACTGCACTTATTTTCACTTAATAAGACCGTATGGCCCAGAGGCCATTTGAATCAATTTTAAAAGATGAGTTTTACTCTGCAGGGTGTCTGTGTATGAAGAAATTCTCAACTAGAGTAAATAAACATAGCTTAAACTGCTTATTTTGGAATTCTGTTCTAGTTTTCAAATTTACTTATCTAGAAAAAAACAGAATGGCTGTAGAGCTTTTGTGCTTGTAACTTTACTACCTTGGAAGAGGAAATAGCTTTGGATGGAATTTTAGCTGTTGTGGCAGAGGTGTGCTTCATAGGAAGGTCAAGTTCGTAACTAAGATCAAGGTTTGGAATTCATGCCTGGTTCTGTTGGTGAGGGGCTTTGATGGTGAGAAAGGAAAGATAATATGAGAACATTTTTGCCCTTTTCCTCTAGGCCTGCTGGATACAATCTCTTTAGCTCTCATATAGCAGTGCGGTTATCTGTCATCAGAACAGGGAACACTCTGGTTCACTCTGTCCCTAAAAAAACTGAATGGAATGAGAATAATTTATATCAGCCAGTCCTCAGTGGGTCTGCATAAAGCAGTAAGAGGAACTGTCAGTAGAATGTTTCCATGGAAATTATTTTTTCTTAAACTAGACCAGTTCTGTGCCAATTTCCTTTCAACTGCTTCTGGTTATAACAATTAAAAAAAAAAAAGGAAAGAAGAACTAGACATTCTTCTTCTTGTTGAATTAATTTGTGTGGGGGTTTCTTTCTTTAATTCCATTCAAGTAGCACTCAGTTTTCGATGAGCTGTGTAAGTCTTTTTTTTTTAAATTTTTTATTGCATTTTAGGTTTTGGGGTACATGTGAAGAACATGCAAGACAGTTGCATAGATACACACATGGCAGTGTGTTTTGCTTCCTTTCTCCCCTTCACCTACATTTGGCATTTCTCCCCAGGCTATCCCTCCCCAGCTTCCCCCCACCACTGGCCCTCCGCTTTTCTCCCCAATAGACCCCAGTGTTTAGTAATCCCTTCCCTGTGTCCATGTGTTCTCATTTTTCATCATCCGCCTATGAGTGAGAATATGCGGTATTTCATTTTCTGTTCTTGTGTCAGTTTGCCAAGAATGATGTTCTCCAGATTCATCCATGTCCCTACAAACGACACGAACTCATCATTTCTGATTGCTGCATAATATTCCATGGTGTATATGTGCCACATTTTCCCAGTCCAGTCTATCATCAATAGGCATTTGGGTTGATTCCAGGTCTTTGCTATTGTAAACAGTGCTGCAATGAACATTCGTGTGCATGTGTCCTTATAGTAGAATGATTTATAGTCCTTTGGATATATATCCAGTAATGGGATTGCTGGGTCAAATGGAATTTCTATTTCTAAGGCCTTGAGGAATCGCCACACTGTCTTCCACAATGGTTGAACTAATTTACACTCCCACCAACAGTGTAAAAGTGTTCCTTTTTCTCCACATCCTCTCCAGCATCTGTTGTCTCCAGATTTTTTAATGATCGCCATTCTAACTGGCGTGAGATGGTATCTCAATGTGGTTTTGATTTGCATCTCTCTAATGACCAGTGATGATGAGCATTTTTTCATATGATTGTTGGCCTCATGTATGTCTTCTTTTATAAAGTGTCTGTTCATATCCTTTGCCCACTTTTGAATGGGTTTGTTTGTTTTTTTCCTGTAAATCTGTTTGAGTTCTTTGTAAATTCTGGATATGAGCCCTCTGTCAGATGGGTAAACTGCAAACATTTTTTCCCATTCTGTTGGTTGCCAATTCACTCTAGTGACTGTTTCTTTTGCCGTGCAGAAGCTGTGGAGTTTCATTAGGTCCCATTTGTTTATTTTGGCTTTTGTTGCCAATGTTTTTGGTGTTTTGTTCATGAAGTCCTTGCGTACTCCTATGTCCTGGATGGTTTTGCCTAGATTTCCTTCTAGGGTTTTTCTGGTGCCAGGTCTTATGTTTAAGTCTTTAATCCATCTGGAGTTAATTTTAGTGTAAGGTGTCAGGAAGGGGTCCAGTTTCTGCTTTCTGCACATGGCTAGCCAGTTTTCCCAGCACCATTAGTTGAACACGGAATCCTTTCCCCATTGCTTGTTTTTGTCAGGTTTATCAAAGATTGTATAGTTGTAGATATGTTGTGTTGCCTCCGATGCCTCTGTTTCGTTCCATTGGTCTATATCTCTGTTTTGGTACCAGTACCATGCTGTTTTGATTACTGTAGCCTTGTAGTATAGTTTGAAATCCGGTAGTGTGATGCCCCCCGCTGTGTTCTTTTTGCTTAGAATTGACTTGGCTATGCGGGCTCTCTTTTGGTTCCATATGAAGTTCATGGTGGTTTTTTCCAGTTCTGTGAAGAAAGTCAATGGTAGCTTGATGGGTATAGCATTGATTCTGTAAATTACTTTGGGCAGTATAGCCATTTTCACAATATTGATTCTTCCTAACCATGAACATGGAATGTTTTTCCATCTGTTTGTTTCCTCTCTGATTTCGTTGAGCAGTGGTTTGTAGTTTTCCTTGAAGAGGTCCCTTACCATTTTTGTGAGTTGTATTCCTAGGTATTTTATTCTTTGTGTAGCAATTGTGAATGGCAGTTCATTCTCGATTTGGCTTTCTTTAAGTCTGTTATTGGTGTAGAAGAATGCTTGTGATTTTTGCACATTGATTTTATATCCTGAGACTTTGCTGAAGTTGTTTATCAGTTTCAGGAGTTTTTGGGCTGAGGCGATGGGGTCTTCTAGGTATACTATCATGTCATCTGCAAATAGAGACAGTTTGGCTTCCACCTTTCCTATTTGAATACCCTTTATTTCTTTTTCTTGCCTGATTGCTCTGGCTAGAACTTTCAGTACTATATTGAATAGGAGTGGTGACAGAGGGCATCCTTGTCTAGTGCCGGATTTCAAAGGGAATGCTTCCAGTTTTGCCCATTCAGTATGATATTGGCTGTTGGTTTGTTGTAAATAGCTTTTATTACTTTGAGATACGTTCCATCGATACCGAGTTTATTGAGGGTTTGTAGCATAAAGGGCTGTTGAATTTTGTCAAATGCCTTCTCTGCATCAATTGAGATAATCATGTGGTTTTTGTTTTTGGTTCTGTTTATGTGGTGAATTACGTTGATAGACTTGCGTATGTTGAACCAGCCTTGCATCCCTGGGATGAATCCTACTTGATCATGATGGATAAGTTTTTTGATTTGCTGTTGCAATCGGCTTGCCAATATTTTATTGAAGAATTTTGCATCTATGTTCATCATGGATATTGGCCTGAAGTTTTCTTTTCTTGTTGGGTCTCTGCTGGGTTTTGGTATCAGGATGATGTTGGTCTCATAAAATGATTTGGGAAGGATTCCCTCTTTTTGGATTATTTGGAATAGTTTCAGAAGGAATGGTATTAGTTCCTCTTTGTGTGTCTGGTAGAATTCGGCTGTGAACCCATCTGGACCTGGTCTTTTTTTGTGTGGTAGGCTCTTAATTGCTGCCTCGACTTCTGACCTTGTTATTGGTCCATTCATAGTTTCAGCTTCCTCCTGGTTTAGGCTTGGGAGGACACAGGAGTCCAGGAATTTATCCATTTCTTCCAGGTTTACTAGTTTATGTGTAGAGTTGTTTGTAATATTCTCTGATGATGGTTTGAATTTCTGTGGAATCTGTGGTGATTTCCCCTTTGTCATTTTTTATTGCATCTATTGGGTTGTTCTCTCTTTTCTTTGTTATCAATCTGGCTAGTGGTTTGTCTATTTTGTTGATCTTTTCAAAAAACCAGCTCTTGGATTTATTGATTTTTTGAAGGGTTTTTCGTGTCTCTGTCTCCTTCAGTTCAGCTCTGATCTTAGTTATTTCTTTTCTTCTGCTAGGTTTTGAG